TTGCCGTCCGCAACGCTCTCGAGACCGTGGGCGACCGCAGTTTGGAGACGGTCCTTGATCGCGAGCACTTGCTGGATCTTGTTGGTCGAGTTGGACGACTTGAGGAGCTGGACATCGGCGACGAGGCCCTTGACGTCGGCGATGAGGTTGTCGGCGACTTGGATGCCATTCTGGAGGTTGGTGCCGACGTCTTGGGTCGAGGCCGCGACGCCGCACACAAAGGCGAGGACGAGACCGGCAATCGTACTGAGCTTCATACTTATTGCTGGGGATCGAAATGCAAAGTGAGTGTGGCGGGCAACAGCGCGCGTGTCCGTCTTGACGTCGCACCCGCCGTGTCGTGTGGGTGCGCAGTTGTCCGAGTTATCAGTTGGAACGGTACAAGAAAGGACAGTATTGTTCTCGTTGCCATCCCTGCCTGTTGTTGAAATGAGTTAATAACATGCAATTATATAGTGAAGATGGTGGACTTCCTAGTGCGCTCGTGAGGTTTGGCCGGTACGTCAAGCTGAGGGCGCGTGGTCGGGGCTCGGGATTGAGTTGGGAATGAGGTAGCGACAACACCAGAGGTCGGCACGTAGGGCATTGCCATCTCTGCCTGTTGAACACTTGCTGGGTCGTCGTCCAGTCGTGACAGTGCCACTTTTATAGTTCAGTTGGCCGAGTCAAGGCACATTTGAGCTGGCAACGCCGCGTTAAGAGTTGAGATGCCTTGTACCGCCTACGTACTCGTTGCTGGATCACAGGAGTGATACTGAGATAACGAACGCATCGGACGGTGCCGTTTGCTCGAGCATTGCCGGTAGCTGCGAGCAATCATGCAGTTGGCGACGCTGTATCCCTGCGCATGGCAAGTACGAGCACCGATGACGTGTGGGTACTATCCAAAGTCCGCACACTCGTTCACAGCCACACATACGTATACATCCTTGGGTAGCGCCGACGTCGGTGGATGACACGTCGACGTCGGACGTTTCTTAACCGCTTTTTCAAGCGCATATGACAACTCTAATAGCGACGTTGCTCATCTTTTGACATCCAGCGACCAGTCAACAGCTCCACTTCATGGTCTTCCCACGCCTTGTCTCCGCAATGACTTGTGGGATTGCCACCACTCCAACCAAGCATGCTTGGAATACCTGTATCAACGCGTTCGCCAACTTTAAATCGAATACCTCGACAAAGTGGGCCTCGCAAGAACCCTACCCGCACTACGAAGAAACTTGTCGTCAGAGCTGTAGTGCAAGGCGGGATTGGTCAATCGATTTCGTTCGGAAGCGAGTAGCAATTGTCTTGTAGGTCACATGCAACCACCGCTGGTTCAACCAACGTATACACCATATCGTACTCACATGTCATCATACCAAAGTACACGATCTTCACTCGATTGAATACTCCCTAGTGCTACGACTACGACTACGACAAGAGAATGTCGCTTACTGCATCTGGTCGAGCTTGCAGTGCTCCATGACGACGATCTTGGACCCGGTCTGAACGCCGTTTGAGATCGCACCCTGCGAGTCCTTGTTGACAGCGCTAAGCGCGATCTTGGCGATGCCGCCAATGATATCGACAGCGCTCGACGCACACGTGGCCGCCGACGACGTGCAAAAGAGACCGCAGCCGAACGGCGTCGCGCCACCGCACTTGGGCCAGCACATGGGACCCTTGCCCTTGTACTTGTCGGCGCACGGCGGGTAGCACATCAGGCCGCTCTTTTCCTTGCCAGCTTCGCAACCAAGACGCGAGGCACCAGCGCCGCGACCATAGTGGTCCTTGCGGCAGAAGGCACCGTCGTCATGCGTACCAGCGGGGCAGTCGGGCGTGCAGATGCAGCAGCCAAACGGATGGAAACCGGCCTTGCACTTGGGGTACCACATGAGACCGTTCTTCTCGCAGCCTTGCGGGTTCTCGGCATTGCACTTGTCTTCGTTCCAGAGCGCGTAGCCCGAGCCGCGGCCGTACGCCTTGGGCTTGGTGCATGACATGACATACCAATGTCAGTAACACCTTCGGCGCCGCTGCAGCCCTTCTTGCGGCAGATGCAGCAGCCGACCTTCTCGTAGCCTTCCTTGCACTTGGGGTAGCAGAGCGCGCCGTAGGCCTCCTCGCCTTCCTGGCACTGGTTGAAAACGAACGAACCGACGCCACGGCCAACACCTTCGCGCAAGCAGACGCGCGGCGCCGGGTCGAGCGACCCGAGCACCTGCTGAAGCGCCGACTGGATGTCGTTGACGACACCGACACTGTCCTTCATGTCGATGCCCTTGTTGTCAATGATCTTTTGGATGTCCTTGATGACCTTCTCGCTGCCCTTGACGTTGTCGAGGCCGTGCGCAATCGCCTGTTGCAAATGATCCTTGATGCTGAGGAGCAGCGTCGCGTTCACGGGGCCGCCCTGCGAGAGCAAGTGCATGTCGTTGGCGAGGAGCGCAATGTCATTCTTGGTGTCAATGATGACCTTGGCGATCGTCTGCGCGTCATCATGGATCGCGCTCGTCGCGTTCGGCGCGACCGGTGACGCCGGCAACCAGCGCGACGTCAGCGAATTGACCGCCGCCACGATACCGTCCGCGTCTTCGGGCTTGCCGCCGTCCTTGAGCAGCGCCTGCACGTCCGCAATGATCTT